GCCCGGCGTGTCAAAAAATAGTATGTGCACCACGGGCGCAAAGGGCATTCTGTCTAGTGCTAGAATGCCCTATTTTGCGCCCTAGGTACACAATGTACTATTAGCTCGAATTCAGAGAGAGCAATACAGGAGAGACAAGGATCAGTCTGTCCTTTACTCGCAGTTTCTTAGTTTCTCCGCACGAGGCCTTCAAGATGAATTCGAAGTTGGCCCTATTGGCCCGTCGCTCCTGTTAAGAGTCAAGATATGCTGCATATACAAAATTCTGCTTTTAAATTACAGATCTGCTTGTCGATTTAACATAATCGTACAAGAATGTACATTCAATGGTGAACCAAATTATCAACAAAAGTTGTCACTATAAATGGAGTTTTTGAGGAAATGTTAAATATTTTCATTCTCAGAATTGAGTAAAATTAGTAGACTGTTATACTTCAGTATACAGACAGTAAATATAGATTCATCCGTCTTCATCCAAATTTTTGAATTTCTTGTTTTTCTTTTTCTTCGGTTCTTCTGTTTCTTCCGTTACTCTATTTTCTAATACTTCGCTTTTTCTTTTCTTATCTTTTTTCTTTTTCTTTTTAGGGTTCTCTTGTTCTATGCTGGCTATTACTTGCGTAGCTTCTTCTAATGCCTCCTTCATCACATCTATATTTTTCTCAGGTATTTCTCCAGTTTCATAGAATGAAATTCTATCTTCAACTTGTTGTCGCAACTTTTCGCCGAAGATATTGGTTGGTGTATCCGTAAAGCAATCAATTCTTGATGCCATTGAACATTTATTTGCAAGATACCTTGAAATCCTACCTTTGTTCTTCGTTCCCGTACGACCAATAAAACTCGAGTGGAACAACAACCCATATTTCGGAGTGTTACCTTTCGTTTTTAAAGCTCTGAACAAGGCTTTTTCTGCTCCTAATATTTGCACAGTAGAGGCGGGATATTTAGCCAAATTAGTAAGACTACCGGCATGTGCTATTAGTCTTGCTCCGACTTGATCACCGATCAATGTTGCCAAATTTGGCGCTACTCCTGCCATCTTAGATTTTAAATACTCTGCCAGCTGTTTTCTATAATCAGCCAAAGCAATAACACGGGCCGCAAACATTTCGATGTTTAGGAGGTCGACAGGGCTGATATCCATTCCCATAGATGATTTAGATGCGTCGATAATTGCTTGAGCTTTTGCACTGTCCATAACAATTTCTTCCAAAGTTTCTAACTTCTCACTTGTAAGTTCTTTTCTGTTTTTTATTAATTTAGCAACTTTGGCATACGTATAGTTCTCAGGAACTATTTTTACAAGTTCTGGAAAGTGATAACTGTACCATTCTGTGCAAGAAATATACTCGTGATTAACAAACATTGACAATGTAAATGGAAACAAGTATCTTACTATTATTACCTTATGCGCATGCTGAATGTATTAATATCCTTGTCTAATTGATCTAACAGAGCTATACTCTGTATAATCATATTATCTACACGATTGACATTGAATTTTACTTCAGCTCTAGAATAACTATGACCTAACCCAAGCTGTGCAATTCCAGAACTCCTCGCAGTGAAACCTTTCACTAAATTATGAAAATGAAATCTTATCCCTCTAATGATTTCTGGGATGGCTCCAGTATGGTCACATTTAATATTTAGTGCTTCAGTAATACTAGCTCCAAGTTTCGGATCTGCTACTCCTAGCACAACTTTATTTTTCTTTCTAGATTTTGGTATACATGAATCCAAAAACAGTTGCAAGTCTTCAGGGACAACTCCTTCAGAAATATTGTTTATACTTTCCAAAGCTGCTAAAGCAGTTTTGAAAGGCGAGAACCCAACTAGTTTTACAACTGAATTGAAGCGAGATAAATCTGTGACAGATGCTTCAACCTGAGGTAGCAACATCCCTAACTCCTCAAATTCTTTGACCGCAAAGAGTGCATAACCAGCAGCATGCTCGAACAATACGTAAAACTTTAACTGAAACAAAAATTGTTTAAATGTAAAGTTTCTTTATAGTTTCTTCTTATTTATTATTTTAC